CCCCCCCGGTTTTTAAACAAGCATCGTAATTCAAGAGAGATGATCACAAATGAAGAGAGAAGAGCCGGAGCGACTTAGTTGCTTCGTGACTCTCAAAAATTCACCTAACAACTTATTTATTTCTCAATTTTATCTATGAATTTTACACTAATTATCTTCGTACTTTGAGTAAATTCTATGCGTATGTCACAAGACATATTCTTGTTCAATGAAATAATAAGCACATTGCACAGCGAGATTTAGGAAAGTTGCAGTGCAATTAAGTTTCTCCTTCATTCGTCCCTTCGGTATTATAATATTATCATAAACTGTCTTAATCATACCTGTTTCCGGCTGGCTTAACTTTTTTATCATAGCCTTTTCCCAATTAAGGAGGTTTTTCAAACTTCCCATCTTCTTTTGAATTTCCTTGACCGATCTCCCCAGAGTTGTCGCAATTTCACTCCAGGCTTCGTATTTTTTTATTGAAGTTTGAGTATCGCTTTCCGAATTCCAAAGCACCGGGAACTTTTCATAAAGGTTGATTAGGAGGAATTCCTCTTCAATACTCCAACAGACCATGGGAGCTCAATAGAAAAATCGAAACAACCATAAAAATGACAGAAGATGAAAACACTCTGGTCCGCTTTTGAAACAAAGTCAATTAGGCGCAAACAATCCGCGAATGATTGACTGACAGTTACAGAAAACGAGAATAAGTGATTATCAGTTTAAAATTGAAAACACAGTTACGTAATCGTATTTAATCATCGCATAAAATTGCTCAAAGGACTGAACCAAATAAACGGTATAGAATCTAAAATCGTCATCATGTTTTGTTTTTCTCACTCCCCGTATGCAGCATTACAGTCATTACGACACCGTTGACCTATTTGTAGTAACCCTTCCCCTCATCAACTTTCATTATTAATAACTCCTTATGATAGCTTACTGGCGTCACTGCATCCATGTAAAGAGTGGCTCACTTGATTTTTCGAGGGGTTTTTTTTCCCATCTTATAGGCCCCCAGCAAGTACAAGCGCAGCCGCTATATTTGATTCGGTGTTGATGTATCATGGCATAATAATAAAGTGTTACAAATTTAAAAATATTTATTTATTTGCTTTCCGAAAATTTGTGATACCATGCACTTAATTAACAGGGTACCGAAACACCGAGCTGCAACTAACATGGTGCAAGAAACCTCTTCCCTTAACTAACGCGCACACAGAGAGAAAACACAACACAACAGTTTGTTTGATACGGGAAGCAAAACATAAAATAACCCAAGCCTTCGATTGACCCTGGGGTTTCCCAGTCTCTATTGGTTTTTGCGCTAGAGTCACCACGAACTGTACCAAAATCAACACAAAATTAGTGTTGGTTTGTGTTTCACATCTTGTATCACCCGGTAACACGAGAACACAAATATTTTCATATCGGTGCAGTCATTTTTCATCTCACAGATGAAAACTCCTCGGCTGTAAAGCTATTAATCGCAATGTAACTCATTTCAAATTTAGTCCTGAAATTTGAGAGCGAAGTCGGAGTTTTGCACGGAAGCTACGGGCGTTGGCATGAAAGCAACCAAAATACCGAGAAAAAAGTCTTCTTGCTCAAGGCCACCATCACAGCTTCACGGAAAGTTTCCAATTTGTGTCGCAGCTTGAATAAAAAATTGCTCAAAACCCCGTTGTTCATCGAACTGAATCAAATAGTCCATCCTCAAAAAAAAAGAGGCTTCTTTTTCAAAATTTCCAGCGTATATGAGGACTTATCTGTAACAATAGCGAATGTGAAAAATTACCTTTTTGAAACACATTCAAACAACTGTTTTGACATCGAGAAAATTTGGAGAAAATACTTGAGATGTGATCTTCGAGATCTGTACATTATGCCAGAGCCAAACGTATTAAATTTTTGTGTGAACAAAACAGTTTTTTAAGCGTGTTTCTATAAGGTAATTTTTCACATCCGCTATTGTTACAGATAAGTCCTCATATATTATAATGGAGCTCTCACATTTTGCAAAAAGTTTTGATTCAAGAACTGTTTTGTACGTAAATTTTGGGAAAAGCACGATGGTGCCCCAAACTTTTTTTTTCCCAAGCTCGACATAAAAAGCTCTCGAAGTTTAGGTTATAAGGGAGAAGATCGTCTACGTTATAATGAGAGTCCAACATAAACATTCCATCTCTTCATATACAAATAAGGAGCGAATGCAGTAACAAAGTTGACGAGGTTAAAAAATTGTAGCCGCCTCTCCCCCCCCACCCCCACCCAAACACACCCTCACACACACAAAGAGCCAATGTTGTTATTTTATTTGCTCTCTAGCTGTCCATGGTCGAGTTTGACTGGATGCAGAGCGAATTTTCAACCTAGCGTGGAAGATCCCCGCCATTACGGTCTCGATTTAGAAAGCTTTTTTGGAGCGTAGGAGTTTGTTTTATGGAAAAAAACAGCCATCATCGAGTTCCTAGCGGAATTTATTGCTAGTGTTACCATATTCACCTCGTTACAATACTTATCACTGAGTAAATTATCGGGAATTTTCCTTGAAATTGTGACGTATACCAGTTCAAATTGAGAATCAAGTTTGCCGAGGAATTAAAATAATTTTATCCACAAGTTTTCTTGAACATTTGTATTTTATGATGCAAAATTTGGCGACCTCCAAAGGTTCATACGGCTTATTCCCGCAACAAAATAAACTTGACTCATAGATTAAAGTAAAAGCACGAGCGTGATGTACGTGGTCTGTCCGGAAAGTATCAGGACTTTTTGATTATCTCGAAATGTTATGCAGAAAATGAGCTGAAATTTGGGTTGGATTTTGCCCATGTCCTCTCCAATGCAGCCTCACAATCAAGCTTTCACACCTTTAATCAGTCGATTGCAATCAACTGATCAAAGTGTGTGTGTCAAGTGCTATCGTCGCGTTTTTTTGTTTTTTTTTTTTTCGTGAAATGACCGAGCGTGAAGATCAGAGAATTTGTATTAAATTTTGCTTTAATCTTAGAAAAAACTGCCAAGGAGACCATGGAAATGATTCGGAAAGCTTTTGGCACTGATTCTATGAGCAAGAGCAATATTTATGAGTGGTATAATCGATTTAAATCGGGTCGTGAAACAGTCGCTAGTGATTCGCGGTCCGGGAGACCTTCGTCGACGAATTCTCCCGATAACGTGGAAAAGTTCGGGAAGCTATTGCCCAAGACAGTCGGTTAACCGTGCGGGAACTGGAAGAGCAGCTAAATATCTCGAAGACCATCGTTACGGAAATTTTAACTGAAAAACTCGGGCGGAGCGGTGACTGAATGCTCCAACATGACAACGCTCCGGCTCATTCCTCCTGTCTTGTGAAACAGTTTTTGGCAAAGCACGATATTCCTCCATTCGGTCCAGACTTAGCTCCTTGCGACTTCTGGCTGTTCCCAAAGCTGAAATCTCCAATGAAAGGGACTCGATTTGACTCCATCAATGACATCAAAGAGAATACGACGAGAGCGCTGAAGGACATTCCAAAAGAGTGCTTTTTGGACTGTTTTGAAAAGCTCAAAAATCGCTGGAACAAGTGCATTGTGTCTTACGGAGAGTACTTCGTAGGAAATTAAAGCCACAATGTCATAGGTAATCTCGATTTATCAAAATCTAAAAAGTCCTGATACTTTCCGGTCAGACCACTTAACTAGTAATTTATTTAATTTCTTTCAGACATTATTTTAGTAAATTATTTTTTGGCTTTTTAGCAATGAATTAAGTTTCGAAACATTGTTTTGATTCATTCAATCACTCATTTCATCCTTGAAGTTGTTCTGATACTGCAAAGCGCATACATCATTTCTACAAAGCAGATCTTAAGGGGTTCTAATTTCGTAATTTAATGTTAAAGCCGGATATTTACACAATTTCCGCGGAGATTTTATATCTTAGACGTTACTTTCGAATTTTCGCGAATATTGATACCGCAATTTCTTGAGGGTATAACATTGTGCAGATATCACTAAGCGTATGTTCCTAGGCTAGTCGGAAAACCCGCGACACCTATTGCATACCGTTACGGACAATGAAGTGACAGAACTTACCGATAGTAAAACCACATTGTAGTTACTGCAAAAACGCGTATCTCGGTTTGCAGTGCCGCAGACTTCCTGCTATATTGTATTTTTTAAGATGAAGTCCTCCGTTCCGTGATGCCAGATCGGTTATATTGTAAAAGACTCTGCATTTTGGCGCGCACATAGTACTGATACAATGCGGTCCTAATTCACTTCCTTGGAGAAAACCTCGACGCATGAAAAACGCCTTCAACGAGAAAAGATACCTCCTAGCGTGGTCTCAGAGGCTGAATAGTTGCATCCTTTCAAAACCTAATTGGACGTATTTCTGTCAAACGGAACTATTCCCTATTGTCGCTCGAAGGCTGCATGCCTTTCGCCAACAGGTCTCGCCTCCAATTCCGTCGCGACCAGTTCCTGGGCCAGTTCACCGGCAAGCCCCCTCCCGGATCCCTCGGCCGGCAAACTCCCTGCTTGGCCCGAACCATGGGCGTCCGAACCAACTCTTGCGGCGTCCAGCTCCCACACCGCTTCTACGCAGGCCCCCCGCACCCGCTTCAGCCGATGCTTCGTCTTCTCGCCGGCCCAGCAGCCGATCTTCCGCTCCTGCCGCTGCAGCCGGGCGCCCCGAACCTAGGCTAACGCCAGCTGCACGCCGTCAGCTCGTGGAAGCCAATCAGGCCCGCACAGCATCTCGGCAAGCTGTTGTCCCTGCTGCGGTGCAAAGAATCCCCACTCGTCCGCGACTGATAACCAGCCGTAGGGAACCCACGCCACCACCTCCACCTGCTCAGGACCCCAGTCACGCCTCCTGGTTCATCTCCCTCTCAGAGGAAGAGATGCTTCTCAGCCCCACACCCTCGGATGCTTCTACCATCGAAGTGCGGACATCCCAAGATGCGTCGACTCAGACGTCGCCTCGTCGATCATCTTCAATCGGCTGTGAGGAGATGCGAAAGTTTCCACGATCAGGATCGGTCATGATCGGTCAAGTTCGCTGGATGACGATTGCAGCGTCGAATCAGAGCGGCCAGGGAGTGCGCACGCGCAGAGGAGAGGAAAGCGCGAGAGAGCTTCAGAGCAGAGCGCGAGGAGTCCCGAGTTCAGTATTGTTTCGGCGGTCACTTGGTGCGTGGACCTTGGTGCCACGCTCAAACCCAAGTCGAGTCGATATTCCATGATTTTTTAATCGTTAGATGCTGTTGTGCCAATTGTGCAAAGTGCTGATTTTCTGCAAAGGAAATCATTTCAATTTCAGAACGAGTATTCTCTTTTCTTTGCCCCCTCCCCTCTTTTTATTCCTTTTTCCTACGCCTGGATTTCGCAAGGAGGCTTGATCCGAGGGATCTTTATCCCTCGCTATCGCCACCTTCTCCGAGGCCCCCCCCCCTTGCTCTTGCGTCGGAGGTTTGATCCGAGGGACTTATCCCTCGCCATCGCCTCCTTCCTCGAGGGCCTTCCCCTTCTCTTTTCCAGGATATCTCTGGACGATACCGCATCATTACACGGCGTCCGAGCGGAAGTGGTCATCCCTGTTCCAGCAGCACCGGCGCCTCAACCGTACGCCGCTCCTCAGCCGTGGCTAGTCCCTGCTCCCAACTGGGCCCAGGGGAACACGGCCCATCACGTCCAGCGGTCCAGGAGACGGGCCCAGCGGCACAGGGAAGCGGTTCAGCGACGTCATCTCCATCAGCCGCCGCCCACCTCCACGTGCGCCTGGGGCTTAAACCCTTTTGTCTCTGTAATTTTGTACTCGTAAATTGTTTTCTTAAAGCCTTTTGTAATTCTTGCTTAGCTTTATCTTATGCATTAACAGGCTTTGCTTTTTAATTTTGTAATTTTGTACTCTTAATTTGTTTTCTTACAGCCTTTTGTAATTCTTGCTTAGCTTTATGTTATTCAACTTTAAATTTAAATTTAAACTTCAACTTTAAATTGAACGGAACTATGTGCATTATGACGTGAGTCCTGTTATGCACGTACTCTTATGGGTGTTAGGGCTCATGTCTTAGTGCACATAGTTCCGTTTGGCAGAAATACGTCCAATTAACAAACTAGCAGCGTAGATAAGTGAGTAATGCGGTTGCCTCATTTGCATGTTGTTTGTATGTTGACGCATTTGCGAAGGATGGCAGACGACCGGTTGCCCAAGCAGGTCTTCGATTGGGTTCCTCCCGGAAGGCGACGGCGTGGACGTCCTGTGAAAGGTTGGCGACAAGGGGTGGAGGAGGAGATCAGAAGGTGCCAATTGCCTGATGATCTCTGGGAGGATAGGGGGCAATGGCGATTGGGCGTCGCAGAGCGCGAGGCGGCGCTATAGAAGCGACTTTATGTATGTATGTATGTATGTTGACGCAAAAAAAACGCCTTCAACGAGAAAAGACACTTCCCGGCGTGGTCTTAGAGGCTGATGCATCCTTTCAAAACCCAATTAATAGACTAGCAGCGTAGACTAGCGAGAAATAATGTTGCTTCATTAGCTAGATGAAATATGTCGACGCATTAAAAACGCCTTCAACGAGAGAAGATACTTCCTAGCTTGGTCTTGGAGGCCGAATAGTTGCATTCTTCAAAACCCGATAAGCAGCATAGATTAACGAGTTATGCGGTCGCTCCCTTTCCTACACGACGCTTCACGCGCATGAAAGAAAGACGCCTTCAACGAGAAAAGATACTTCCTAGCGTGGGCTTAGAGGCCTACGCGTATCCTTTCAAAACACAATCAAAAGAGTAGGAGTGTAAAACACCCTGTAGTGTAGAACACCCATGCAAAGCTACCATACACACCAGAGTACCCCTGGTACTCTACCCCTGGTAGAGTTTTTGTAATCTTAAATTATTTCAAAGCCCTCAAGGGGTTGGAGCTGTTCCGCATATTTTAATTTTTACACTAAATAGGCGCTCAATGTGAATGAAGTCCTATCTACCACATAAGAACTCTAATTATTAAGATTGATAAGATGGATAAGGTATAAAGATTAGATGGCTCACTACCATGCAGAGAATGACGATAGTCTGAACGGTATTTTAAATCAGGTTTTTGTAACCAATCAGCAGCAAGCTAGTTAGCTAGTTAGCTTTCAGCAGGTAGTCATGGACCCTGCGGGAGAGGGAACACGTTCAGACGTTCACGTTCTGCACGTTTCAGAAATCTTTGCTCTATTGTATCTTCATGTATTTCACACGTCCTACGAAAAAGTATAGAAGCATGATTTCATCCGAACATAGATGCTTACACGCCAAAATGACATTGCAAAAATGGGAAAAAATCCGAGATAATCCTCGGGCAGTATAGTATTAATCTGATTCATATAGATTCGGGCCTTTAGTTCGTTAGTCAGTTCATTTAGACTATCCCTTACCAGCCAGTATGTCGTAGTAGGTCAACTCAACACTGAAGAAGCAAACGCATCAAGATTTGTAACAAAATGCCGGTGGGTGGTCGAACAGGTTTTTGGACGTATCAAAACAAAATTGAAGTTTTATTTCTTTGACTGCTCAAAATTCGAACATGCTGTATGATTTTGACAACGTTTAAATTGGTCTTGCTCTTTAAAATGTATTTCATAAACCTAACCTATGTGATGAGTGTTATGATGATATACGTCGCATCATGAAATCCCGGAAAGGAGTGCCAAACCTACTCCAAAATGTTGGCACCAATAGCCGATAGCAAGTAACCCGATTTGGCACAAAATAATATGCATATAGCTTTTATAAGCTTGAAGAGGAATTGCCCAGTTGGATACAGAGTGGCATCAGTGTGTATATGAAACTGGATGAATGACGAATGAGCTTACCGTCGTAATCGCGATCTAAAACTGTCGTCGGTGTCATGCGTGCCGGGTTTGCCCAAAACCGAACACCCGTCGCGAATCCAGCCCTACACCGCGCAGGATGGCATGGCTCAAAACAGCACATTTTTATACGAACTAAAGCGTACACACAGCGCAACAACGTACATGCGAAATTAAACACATGCTGTAACTGCAATAATTTGACAACTTGGGATCGCGAGGCCGGTACGAAGATGACAGGAAAAATTGACTTATTGTTTTACTCACTTTTTAATCTTCGGTCCTGATTTCTTACTCTTCTTCTAACTTGACTATGACGTCATTTCGGGCCGTAAGTTCAATTCAAGTAAGTTCATTTCAAGTTAAAAAAAGAGTAAGAAATCAGGACCGAAGATTAAAAAGTGAGTAAAACAATAAGTTAACAAACACCTGATAAAGTTATGAATCCAACCAACAGGGAAAATTGAGTTGCTACGCAAGTATGTGTGCATTATCGCATATTTTCGACGAGGTTCAAGTGTCACCGAACCTTCTAAGTTGACACCTGCAGCATGTGTATCAGTGATCGGTCGCAGGTCGGGCGAACCTACTCAGAATGGATGACTTCAAAGTGATTGAATCGCGGTTTTAGTAATTTTTAATGAGCCATACGCAGTTTTAAATTAGTGTAATTGTGTTTTAAAATGAGTGCGTTATGGAGTTCGATTTTAAGACAAGCAACCAAGGGCTCCCAATGATTCACTTCGAATTGACTTATGTCCCGTGGCGATTTTCGGACTTTTGTCCCGTGGCGATTTTCGCCACCATGGACAACTGTCACTGCCAGGACTTTTAGGGGTGACTCCAATAAGTCTTGGAGCCCTGCTGTAATGGCGGGCATGGGGTAACTTACAAGGCTTGCTTTGGACGTTTCTTGTCTGAACTCTCGAGTTACTTCCAAAAAATTTTCCTTGTCCGAACTGGTTCCGTCAAGTGAGTTGGTTTTTTGCAAGAAACGGCAACCGCGCAAGGCGAGCGATTGAGGACCGGCTGAGGCGAAAAGAAGGCACACCTGAAAAGATAATTATCATTTAAAAATCACATAATATGATAAAATATCATTTATTTGAAATATTTTAATATTAACTTGCGCTATGAACTTATCTCCTTCGAAAACTTCAAAGGAGGTTTACGTGGACGGTACCTTTAAAAGCTGCCCAAAACTATTTTATCAAATTTTTTCCATTTTAATGAAATTCATGTCAGTTTATGTGCCCCTTGTTTTTTGTCTCCTCCCTGATAGACAAATCTCTACTTACGCGTCAATTTTTTCATTATTACGGGACTATGTACCGAATGTGTCAATTGTCTATGCAGACTTGGAGTATCCTCTACATGAAGGAGCAAGGATTGCGTGGCCAAGCATTCAAATACGGGCTTGCAGATTTCATCTTGCCCAAGCATGGTGGCGCAAAATACAAAATCTAGGTCCGACGTTGCAATATAAAGGCAAAGACTCCGAAAGTGGCAGAGGATTGAGGAGAAATGTTAGCACTTGAGCAAGCTGTGTTGCAATTCTGAGTAAAAAAATTTGAGTTACGAATTTACAGATGGAAAGTAATTTGGAAACGGGAACCAATATGAACTTCAGAAGAGGGAACCAATATGGAAATGGGAACCAAGGGAAATGTGAATCAATTCGGCCACTTGGGAAGCAATTTGGCTCCTTTCGGGCCTAGATGGAGCTGAAACACCTGAGTCTTCGATGTGCTTTGGTTTCAGGTTGCACTTATTCGTTTATTTTGGTTGCACTATCAGTCTCACAATAACAACGGTGATAGGCTCAAAGTGTCTTTTCTTTTAATTTTTCTTGTTTTGCCGGTTGAAAATGCGGGTGTGATCCCTGCGAAACGTCCCGGGTTTCTTATTTTATTTTATGTGTTTCTATTTATTATTTGCGGCCTTAGTCCCGATTTAAGTTGTTTCTCTGTTAATGTTAATGGGCCGATTTCGTTGTTTTTACTTTGTGCGGTTTCACTCTCAGAGAGCAGTGATAATCTCAGATTACCCGAATATTCATATTTTACTATTTTGCTCTGCAGGAAAACACAGGTATGTAATAACAACATATCGTCAGCCTGGACCGATCAAATTCGACGAGGATCACTTGGATAACAAGTAAGAGTACCGATTTTAAGATGAACTTATGAAATTCTCGAATACTTCTTATGTTGTGATCATCAGTTGGCAGGGCCGGATTTAGGGTATGGCCACATGGGCCGCAACCCATGGCGGCAAATTTTGCAATTTTTTCAAATGTAGGTATTAAAAAAAAAAAAAAAATCGGATTCAGAAAAAACAAATTACAAACTAGAAAAGCGACACAATCTCTCATTTTCTGAGAGTTAAAGTATCGTAATTTCTAATTTGTTCGTCTTTCGGTGATACAAGAGACAGAACCTTTCATTAGTCTAGTTGAGAGAAAAACCAAACACGCAATTTGGCCTGAGGTGGCGCGGCGCAGAGAACAATGATGAGGACTAGAGATGAAAAGGAGAAGCCCTCGGCGCGCAGGTCTGCATGAAACACATACATGCGGCAACAAAACTCTACGAATATACGAATACTCACGCATTGCGTCAAACGTAGCGCGATCAGCAGCGGTTGACGTGAAACTCATAGTGCCTACAAGACTGCATGAATACTTCACGCATTGCGTCAAAAACAGTGCGGTCAGCAGCGGTTGGCGTGAAACTCATGGTGCCTACAAGACTGCATGAAAACTTTACGCATTGCGTCAAAAACAGAGCGGTCGGCATGAAACGCATAGCGCATGCAACACTGTAAGGATACTTCACGCATTGCGCCAAACACAATGCGGTTGGCAGGGTGGCAGAAACTAAAATTATTAAACCACATTCATCTTTATTCTTTCATAATTTTTTCGTTCATTTCTCATAAATGAAAGGCCTTCTCCACGCAGAGATTGGTTTGCGGAACTTAACCTTCGTGTAAAATTCCGTGAAAGTTTGCTAGTGTTGACAGGGCAAAGGTTACTGACCCCCCGATATATGATTTTAACTCCGGTCAACTCCGGAACACGAATAGTTACATGAAGGCGCTACATCCTACGTGAGTTGTTTTGCGTCTTGTTTCCAAGAATCAGGTATGGAAGGTCAATGGCCTGTCTTGCTGTGAGTGTAAATATTGGTCAGTGGGTTATTCTATCAACATTACAGATCAATGACCTTTCGATTTGCATGATCGGTGTGGCATTACGCCTGCTAAGTTCAATGGTCACTGACCCCCCGATATATGATTTTAACTGACTTAAGTAGGTCAGTGAGTCAAAGCAAGAAATGAAATGAGCATGCATTTAAAAACGCATTTCATGCATTTTAATTTAAAAACGGGTCACTGTGTTACAGGCTGAGCCAAAGGTTACCGACCTGTCTTTGGAGTGCAAACATTGGACATCAATTTCATGATAAAAAACCCCTAATGTCCATTATACCAGCTTTCAGTTTTTATTATGTTTATAATGATAATACTCTTCAAGTTGATATAAAAACATGAAAGTCGTACGAATGCCCGTTTTGCCCGTGCTACTATTCATTGCTCAACAGAAGAAACTATGTTCATAGAGAAACCAACAGCACACACGTTGGTTCTGAAAGTAACTCCAAATAGCAAAACCTGGCATGAATCAAAACTGGGGCACTGCGTAACGTTCGATACACAAAAGCTGGATGAGTTTCAACACTCCATCATAAAAAAACAATATTGACGAGTGAAATACGATTGAAACCAGCACTGGGAAAAAAAACACATTAAATCTGCAGGCCAGACCCTTGAAAACATTTGCAAGCAAAAATACTCTTGATTCAATCGGATTTTTGCTTGAATCAAAACGAAATCCGCTTAAATTAAGAGGCTTGGTCCTCGATTTAAGCTAGATTCTGATTGAATCAAGAGTCCTTTTTCTTGTAGATGTTTCTAAGAGTCTGGACTCTAGATCCAATATGTTTTTTTTTTCCAGTGCGGCCCATGGGCGGCAAGTAGGTAAATCCGGCCCTGTCAGTTGGATTTTAATTAATCCAAAATGCCATTGCGTTGCTATATTTTGATCGTCATAAAATTAAACTTCATAGGCACAGATGAGAAATGGACCGAGTTTAACAGATAGGAACCGAGCCACATCAGCTGTTGCCAAAATTAACTGGGCAATTCAATTTTTTAAGAAAGAACGTTTGTGCGGATTTCTGTGAAAATGATAGGGAATTTGCTTCGTACTGTGGAGAAAATTCACTGAAATTTGCACGAAAATCCACACTACCGTTTTCATGTAAATAATTAAATTGCCCAATTAAATTTGGCAATAGCTGATGTGGCTTGGTTCCTTTCTGTTTAACTCGGTCCAAATTAGAGTGAATGAAGCAGAAATTCACCAAAATAATGCAAACTCACGTTCATTGTATATGACAGGAAAAAGATACACGAATTTTTTTTTTTTTATTTTCCCAAGTTCAAATTAGTTAACAATTAAGTTCTGATGAGACCAATATATTTGTTACAGATCCGATTACGGACGGATCTGCCATTCGACCAATATGTTTGCCACGGATAACGAACTTGGAAATCCTTGGGCTGTGAATTTCTGGTATACGGCTCACGATACAAAGCGATCGTAGTCAATGACACTAATGACAGCATTCTAAGAAAACCACTTTGTTCACCCATGACGTCTTTCATGGACTTATTTTAACATGGAAAATAATGATACACTCTAAAAAACTAGTTTCATTTTAAGGAAGAATGTTAAAAACAAGCTCAATACAATCTCATCACTAATATCAGGAAAAAGTCTCAGTCCTTCGGAATAATTGGAGCCAGTTTCCCCTTACCTCACAATCTATCTACAAAAATACCGAGAAAAAGTCTTAATACTCAAGGCCACTATCACAGCTCCACGAAAAGTTTTCAATTTGTGTCGATGCTTCAATAAAAAATTGCTCAAAACCCAGTTGTTCATGGAACTGAATCAAATAGTCCATCCTCGAGGGACAGAGGCTTTTTTTCAAAATTTCCAACGTATTTTATAATGGAAGTCTCAAATTTTGCAAGAATTTACGATTTTAGAAATATTTTGTACGTAAAATTTTGCGAAAAGCTCGATGGTGCCCCAAACTTATTTTTAGAAACGAACTTTCAAGCTCAAAATAAGCTCTCGATGTTGAGGTTATAATGCTGCCGTGCAAAGGAAGAACGTCGTATGAACTTTCGAGAGTTGCCAAATGTCCGTTTATAAAATGTTTACTTTTGAGGAAAATTATGAATATTTCTCCTTAAAATTTTCAGACTTTTTGGATCCAATTACGAATGGAATTCTCTATAAAATTGGAAGAGAAATAACCAAAAATTTTCCTGTAAATTCGAAATTTGTCGGGGGTTTGGAAGCGCCTGATGGCTCATACGGCGCTTTTCTCTAGCACGCAGAATGGAGAAGCGACCAACATGACCAGTCCATCTCGCCATACACAAATAAGTTGACGAGGTAAGAAAATTGTAGCCCCCCCCCCTCACACACACAGACGCAATTCTGTTAATCTATTCGCTCTCTAGGTGTCTTTGGTCGAGTCTAACTAGATATAATGGCGGACTTTCGACCTAGCGTGGAAGATCCCCGCTATTACGGTCTCGATTTAGAGAGCTTTTTTGGAGCTTGAAAGTTTGTTTTAGGGAAAAAACAGCCACCATCGAGATCCTTGCGGAATTTAATTCTAGTGTTACCATATTCAACCCGTTACAACATTTATCACTGAGTAAATTATCGGGAATTATCCTTGACATTGTGACATATACCAGTTCAAGTTGAGTATGAGTTCACCGAGGAATTAGAATAATCTAATTCACAAGTTTTCTTGAAAATTTATATTTTACGAGGTTAAATATGGCAACCCCCAAAGGTTCATACGGCTTATTCCCGCAACAAAATAAACTTGACTCATAGATGAAAGTGGAAGCAAGAGCGTGAAGTGTAACAGATCATGCACACCAAAAAACATTCGATAAAAAATGTTCCCTTTAATTCTGTTGACTTTTTCCATTAGGTCGTAAGTTCATGAAAACGTTTCAAAATTGCTACGGAGAATTTTTTTTTTAATGGATCAATAAACGAGTGAATCTCCTCGAATATTTCAAGAGATTTAGGCGGTCTTGAGTTAAAAATTTCCCCCTTTTCCCTCAAGGCATTCGCGCAATTGCACCACCATACAGACGTAAAGGATTCTCGGAAATTCTAAAACGTTGGAGTAGACTTTAGTCTGTATACAAAAAAGGATTCAGCCAACCCTTGACGCACATTCTTGCTACTGGGTGAAAAAATTTTAATTTTTTTTCCTTCTTTTTTTGGGAGTGCTTTCACTCAAGTTGGTGTCTAAAAATGAGTGCTGGCTCAGCTTTCATTTCAGCTTTGCTCGGTGACTAGCAGAGTCACAATTGAAATTTCCGAAACAGACGCGTGCAGATTGCCTTAACTCATTTTTTTACAGTTGTGTTTCTGTTTTTATCTTGGTGAATAACGATCACACCGTGGCATGACGCCAACTCATGATTTCGAATCCTGTATCAACGTTCCATTAGTGCTGAAAGGAGGTGCTCTCGATAAGCTATAAAAATTTAAATATTTTAGATAATTGTTCTGTCTGCGAATCTAAATCTTCCTTTTAATATAGCTATCGCGATATAACTGTAATGTTATACCGTGCCGTTTCCCACTGCATTTGAAATTCCTACTGTATTCTACCAATGTCTACCGTACCAGCTTATTTTAGCGCGTCTATTACCATATTTTTTATGAGTACATTGTAATTTTGTCAGTGTCGTTTCCTGCTACATTTGCAAGTCCAATGGCTTCCGTTTTGGCGATTCTCCTCTTCGTGACTGCGATTTTAGCGATGGCACCGCGGATCAAAATGGTAAGCTCTATTATTAGGGTCAAGGGAGATAAACTGCAGAAAATTTAGATTGAATTGAAAATTGACGGAATATTAAAAAGTTTAAAAGGAGAAGTAAAGGAACCACCTACACAACCAGTACCAAGACACGAATTTAAGCAGGCTGGTACATGTAACCTCTTTAAAATTTCACATGCAATAGGTCTTGCGCAACAAGAATAACTAAACCAAATAATAACATTTTTATTTAGCATTGGTTTTGAATTCCCCGCTGACAAGAAAAACCATAATCTACTCGAATCGAATCACGCGATATAACGGTCTCGGCAGACTTCTCAGTAAGCAGTGTTCTTTCCCCATCCTGTGTTCTCCGAGGTATGTACAACGTGCTATAGCTGAGCCAGAGAGCTGAGATTGAGATGCTCGTTCAAGTTTACACCCTAGAAATCCAAAGAAATGCCGCTGAAACGCGAAAATTCCTTCGAAAAATGGACATTCAGACTCACACTGGGGAGAATTTTATGTTTGTAAATGACGACGAATCATCCATTATTGGATTTGCGCCGGATAGTAATTTTAGGTTATTATGTGGCGTTGAACAAATTTATGAGGAAAAAATTTATCCGGCAATTTTTCATAATTGTATTTATTTCCACTATTATTCACTGTTCACCGACTCAAATACAGCGGAATTCGATTTACCTATGGGGGAAAAATATTGACGGGACTCAACTTACCCTCAAAAGATTGTTTGGGACACAACGTACCTTTTCCCTATTAGACATTGTAACGATATCGTTTAGCATGCGATTTAACTATAGTAAATTATTGTTCTTCCTATGAGTGGATTATTCATCTTGTCGTTGTCATTGTTTTTTCCAATGAATTTATGCGTCGAAAAACGTTAATGTCACAGTGGTTACTTTCAATGATGTTCCCTGCACAAATCATGCTCTACGTGCAATTTTGATGAGAATTGCAACCATGCAATTATTAAAGAGCGAGACGACGTATCTTCGTTTGCGACGTTGTAGACTTCCAGTTAAATTTAATTTTTCCTTGAAAAACTATAGTAAACGTGACTTTTGAAAACTTCCTCATCACTTTCTTCTCCACTAGTAGAAAATTTTGCAGGAATTTCAAGCTGGAAATTTGACTTGATCCTTAGCTCTTCGAAAAAATAAACCAGGATCGCAGATTTTGGAACCCGGCAACAAAGAGACGCGGTGTTGCATTTGATCCATTGATAAAACATCATGCTTAAATTTGCACTTTTTATGGTGGGCCATTCAACATTGCGATGATGAGTCTGCCGAAATGCGTATCTCGGTTTGCGGCACTGCAAACTTCCTGCCATACTTCGTTTTTTACATGGAAAACTACCGAACGTCATTTCTCGAAAACTTTTGTTATTTTCCCTCTGTGAGTAAAGAGCGATATTTTGCGACAATTTCAAACCGTGATGTTGGTTTGAACATCATGTAAAAAATAAAAGAGAAACAAAGATTTTGAAGCACCGCAACCGATATACACATTATTTCAGTTTCACTGTCCTTTTTCTCATGGCCGCACCCGTGCAATCTGGGTTAGGTTGGGTTACGAAACTTTCAGAGAAAAACCAAGCATCGTTGTCAATAATATTAAGTTAACGCAATCAAACATATTGAAAGAAGGATCAAAAAGATTTCGATGTTCAATCAAAAAGTGCAGTGCGAGTTTATTCGTGGATTCGGCTTTGAAATATGTTATACAGAGTAACGAGAAATTGTTTGCCACATTGTGCAGAAAAATAACAGAATAAAATTTCAGCCCTCGCCCACAAATCTCATTGATAATCTCATATTCGCCATAAACGTCCACTGTTTTTCGCTCAAAAGGCCTCTTTTTTCTCGTTTTCGCTGCAAGTTTATTCGTTGATTCGGCTTTGAAATATGTTATACAGAGTAACGAGAAATTGTTTGCCACATTGTGCAGAATAAATAACAAAATAAAATTTCAGCCCTTGCCCACTAATCTCATTGATAATCTCATATTCGCCAAAAACGTCCACTGTTATTCGCTCAAAAAGGCCTCTTTTTTCTCGTTTCCGCCCAAAACGCCCGTAATCGTTACAGGATGCTGCGGAGCGAAATCCTTGCGATTCCTTACCGAGCAACCCAAGCCCTCAACAATTGGAGGATGCTCACTACCACTGCGTGAACGAGCAATCTCGGCTTCTGCATCGCGCACCGGAGGCTTCGAAAGATCAATGTGCCGGCTCGTGGAGTGCAGAGTGCACACGCTACCAATCCCACGATGGTGCGGAGCATCGCTGCACTGTAGTCGTCCAGGGTCCCTCTATCATAGCGTGTTTTTTTAGGCGGCTCTTCCAGCGAATCGACATCAGGTCCTGCATCGTAGGTAAGATTCAACACGAAGGGAGACCCAAAAAACCCCGGAATTTTGCTGGAAATGTGCCTGTTGCAAACCAAACTACAGCTAGAACAAAAAGAAGAGGTAATTCTTATGGGAAACGACCAAAAAATCACGATGAGCGCACTGAAAAAAAATTCACGGCGTTTTTACCAAGGTCCGTCGGTACCTTTACCATCTCACTTTTTTTTACCAATTATTGGTAATTTTACCAAGACAGACTGGTAAGCTTACCTAAAAACCGGTATTTTTACTGTTTTTTCAGGTAAGAATACCACTTTTATTGGTAATCAATTCCCGGTAACTTTGCTATTTTATCTCGGTAATTCTACCACAGTCGATAAAAAATATTGGCGTTTTTACCAAGGCCCAGTAAAATTACCGAGAAAGTTCAATAATTTTATCGAGATTTGTCGGTAAAATTACCAATTCCATGGATGGTAATTTTACCAAGAAAAAACTGGGATCAAATAGAACCCTGAATTCTTGGTAATTTTACCCTTTTCTTAGTAAATACACCGAGATTTTTTTCTCAGTGCGCACCGGCAAAATCTGAAATACACTCCTCACTTCACGATCTCTATTCTGCCGTACGAAGGAACGACACCGTATGAGCCTTCAGGCGTTACCAGATTTCCTTCGACAAATCATTAATTTTCAGGAAAAGTTGTAAATATTTTTCTTCCAATTTCTCGGATAATTTTGTTTGTAATTTGATCTAAAGTGTCTGAAATTTCAAGAGAAAGTATTCATAACTTTTCTCAAAAACAAACATTTTATCGGAGGAAATTTGGCAACTCTCGAATGTTTGCATGACGTTCTTCCTTAGCACGGCAATATTAGGAACATGCGTATTTTTAGGCGTCCCGTTTCAAAAGCGATACTACGGCACAGGTGAACGTTTCATCAAAGGAGTCGTTGCATCCAACCCTAGAGCTCTAATGTGGTACACAATATTCAACATGGCTTACACTGTCGCGCGGAAATCGTGCGGAAACACGATTGTTTTTATCAACGCAAGGAAAATGTAAATATGAACACGCCGGTTGATGAAATCTCATCTCGCCGCGTGTGTTCTGGCGGGTTGGAGTAGAATATCGCGTAGCATCCTAGTGCACAAGGGTTAGATGGAACAAATCTTCTAACGAAATCTTTACTTAGTATTCCTGTTTGGTGCAAAATTACACAGTTAAAAATATCCGTGTTCGGCGTTACTCTGTGTTATTTTGTGTTCCTTTTTTTTCTGTGTCAGATCAACTCTAAAGACTTGGTTGTTCAACACAATTTTGTGTTGCATGAACCAAAAGCATAAGTCACTCAACACAATTTTGTGTTGAATCAACCGAAACCATAGGTCATTCAGGGGCTCACGAGACTGAAAATTTACGATGAGCGCACAGGGAAAGTCTGAAATACACTCTGAACTTCACAATCTGCGTACGAAATATGCGTTTTTTCTCAGGTTTCCGCTTCCAAAACGATACTACAGCACAATGCTCGAAGAGAGAACCTGTACTCGGCCGTGCACCGCAAAAACGCCTTTGGAAACAATGTATCATAGCAGAAAAACGTGTGCACCTTGGGACAATGTTTTTACAGAATTCTTTTGCAAATACTATCTGGTACTTAACCTGAAAATTTAGGGCGCATGCGTAAAACAGTTTTATTTTATACTTAAAGCGTTAAGTTCCAAAAAACGAGGGAAAATCTTGATGGATTTACGGCTTTCTTGATTTGCACGGCAGTAACTCGAGGTAAGACTTTTGCGTTGTCGCCGTAACAGACAACACATTTCTCGGTCATATTTTTAGTAGTAATGATAATCAATCGAATTTTTTTTGCATTAATCTACGTAGGGTTACGTGTTATAACGCTTTTCAAAGATTTACCGCTCTATTATTCAATTTTAAAACAAAAATGGCCGAAAATGTGCTGTCTGTTACGCTGACTTTTTACCGCGTAACAGACAGCACATTTTCGGAATTTACATAAAATTAATTGAGAACTAGAGCAATAAATCATTAGAAAGCGTTATAATACGTAGCCCTTTGAAGATTAATGAAAAACAATTCGAGTGAATATCATATTTCTACTAAAAATATACCTGAAAAATGAGTTGTCTGTTACGACGACAAAAATATTCCAGCTATCGTGGGACCAACCATTTACTGCTCTTTTCGCTATCACGGCAGTGTACTGCACTTTAACAACGATTTATGTTCTACAATGAAAACACGATGTTTTGGAGTCTAGATCTGATGCGTGGCTTTCATACGAACTCGCCTCTTCAGGACCTGGAATTTAAATACTTGGAGCAATCTCGGGAGCATTATAGGATGCCAATCTCGGATCAAGCCTCTTACTCGGCCGCATACTCGATCCGGGGACGGAGATCCACCATGGAGGATCGGTTCGTCCTCCAAGAAAATGTTCCGCGCTACGAAATAGCGTATTTTGCAGTTTTCGATGGTCACGGAGGAAAGGTGAGTCTGCCCATCATGATCAATGGACCAATCGACAAGGTACAAAGGTAAAAATAGAGAATTTGCAGGTGTCTAAAATTTGATGAATTTCGTGTTTCAGTGGAAACTACTGACAATGAGTGAACTGAACACGAGGATACCTTTGATTCATGAACTAAGCAATTATTGTACATTTTCTCACTTTTAAATCTATTTCAATACTATTTCTCATAGCCGAAGAAAATTGGGAAAAATACTGCGAAATCATCTCTTTAGGTTCTTTCAGATGAAGCAATAAAAAATTTGCATGCAAATTCTCTATTCTGATGCATGTTTCTTGAGCAAAATGTCACGTAGAACACGATTCGTGCGACGAAAATTACTGATTATAATTCCTAACAAAAATATTTCATGTTTCTTGAAACGTGAATTCAAACCTCCCGCTAATAAAAGCACAATACGTGAGTCAGATCGATCACTAAACATTGCCATAAAAGTCTCCGCGGTACGAAAAAATGACGACCTTGATTTCGATGCTTTGGTTTAACTCTTGCACGTTGTTGACACTTTGAACGACGCAAGGCGAAAAAAGAACATTGTTTGATTAAAAAACCCGCATCTATTGTTGTAGTGCGCGGTTCGACTCACGTACAGTACTGAGTTTCATGTGACCGGACGATTCAAATGTTCCGTAACCAATGTAAGATTAAAAACGTTCATATCCTAATAATAGCAGTCAATTTCAGTGATTTTCGATGCAAAAATCGTGTTCTTCATAAAATTTTGGCCAGGAAACATGCAACAGAATGATTGAATGCGTACCTTGTCGAGTGGTCCATTGTCAATAGACCAACATACAAGGTACTTGGAGCATTTTAATGTACGTATATATCTTCACGTATGAGCTTCAAACCGAGATAATAACGTTTTCGCTTTTCATTGATTAGGAAAAATTTGAATTTCACCCTCACACGAAAAACTACAGTCACAGTGGCTAAGGCTGTTCGCAGCCACCACTGAGGTCCCGGGTCCAATGGACCACTAGACAAGGTACGAATTTCAGCATTCTGATACATGTTTCTCAACCAAAATTTCACGTAGAACACGATACGCACAACGAAAATTACCAAAATCAACTCCTGACGAAGATATTTAATGATTCTTGATGCGTGAATTGAAACCACCCGCTCATGAAAACACAATGCTCTACGTGATTCACATCGCGCGCTAAATGTGTATCATGACAGTCTCTGCGATGTAAAAATCTTCAACTTCAATCTTGACACTTTGGCTCAGCTATAGCAAATTACCAAAAGTTCGAACAACACATGGTGGGAAATGAACATTGCTCGATTGAGAAGCTTGCTGAAACCGTTGTAGCGCGCGATTTGACTCACGTAGAGCTTTGAGTTTCTTGTGAGCGGGCAGTTCAAATTCCTCGTAATCAGTGCGAAATAAAAACGTTAATATCTTCGTTAGAAGTTGGTTTCGGTAATTTTCGTAGTGTGAATCGTGTTCTACGTGAAATTCTGGTTAAGAAACATGTATCAGATTGCTTAAATTCGTACCTTGTCTAGTGGTCCATTCCTGGAGGTGACGGATATTTGAGGACACTCAAATATATCAGTCATCGTGACCGTGGGCGACAATGTCGCTCCCCCTTGAGGTTTATACTCCGTAGATAGAAAACTTGAGCGTCAATTCTTGAAAACTTCCATGATTTTTCTGCTCTGTACGTTAAAGAACACTATGAAATATTCAAGGGATGAAATTGTTTTTTTCTTTAAACAAAATTAAAATGGGACCAAAGATTTTAGGAAACCGCAAATGGGCTATGATGCTTGGTCTGGTAGTTTCATCGTCGAATTGGGATAAACGTGCCCGATCCAGTCTTATTATAAATACAAGTATCAACAATTTATTCTGGGCCCTTACCGTGTATTCCGAAAATGACCTTCATTGTGAGGTAAAAATCATATCGTAAGGTGTCAACAGATTATCTCCTTTCCCCGTTTTCTGTTAGTACAGGAACCACGGTTTTTGCGTTTGGCCCAGATATTCCAGACCAAATTTTCATCAAAAACCAAAGTCTGTCATCGGTGTCAAACTCGCTCCTAATGTAAACAAACGAACGGAGACATAGTCCGGACATAAACAAAGCGGACCCAGAGCGGACTTCCTAGAGATGTTCCAGACTCAATTCCTCAGCGTTAGCGTTTCTTCACCTCGACAAAAGAACTTTCGTTCGCGTCTAACATTTATCCCTTTCGTAAAATNTTGTTTGAAAATGTTAAAAAAATGTCTCTCATATTGATGTTGATATAGTTTGTTGCAGATTATGCGCGAGACAATTTATTGACAAATTTAATCAAGAAAATTGAGGAAAGGTCGCCTCTAGGATCTCCAAAACGGATCCCTGAAATTTTGGCACCCAGAACTCCATCTCGTCTAAACTCTAAACGTAAGTTTACAAACTCATAAGAAGCACACATATTAAATACACATTGAGTAAAAATTTTTCAGCATAAGTACAAGGCTGCCCCAAACGGAACTCCGCATCAATGCATTGTTATCAAAAAGGGAGAGCATTGAAAGCATGTTATGGCATTCTTGATAGAGATATGATAGCAACTCCGCAGCCTGTGACAAGATCTACGGTAAAAAAAACAACTTAAAAAGCGGGTAACAAGGCTAAAATTTCATGAATAAGAACAAAAACGTTTCCGCTAAGAACGCAGCCATCCTTAGTTGGATAAATAATAAGAAAAATTGACAAATTCTAAAATAGTACCTGGCTGTACCTTTCTAAGCGAGAATGTTGTTGAACAACATTCTAATAACAATGTTCTCGCTTTGAAAGGTACAGCCAGATACTATTTTAGAATGTTTCAATTTTTCTTTTTATTTATCCGACTGAGGATGGTTGCGTTTTCAGCCGAAACGTTTTGGTTCTTTTTTTCGTGAAATTTTAGCCTTGTTACCAGCTTTTTAATTTTTTTTTTCATTATATATTCTCGATACAAACGCCTAAATGCAACTATGTGTGTTTAAAGGATGTCCACGTTGCATGTATGAATAGTTGAAGGCGCTTTAGCACTCTTAATCGCGAAGCTCGCTGCCAATACTCTTGCTCAAATCAACTACATATTGAAATATGCAACTACTATTTCTGATGAAGGTGATGAGTAGAAAGAACCAAGGTGTTCTGGTTAAACACTGGTTTTAACCCAGCTCCTTGGTTCTACTTATCGCCTCCATTACAAAATGGTGTTGTTCAATTGGAACTCAATAAATACAATTCCTGGGTCATCCATTGTACATACCATCTACCTGCAAAGGAAAACTTGTGGCACATGGGTTGTTTTAAAATGAACCAGAAATGAAGTTCCTCGTTACAAAATGTAGTCAAAATGAAATCTGTGTCGCATGTAAAATCGCGATCAAGTCCTCAAGATTCGGGTGACCTAAAAAAGGAAGGTTTATTTATCTGAGGCAAAGGCTGTTCTAAAAAAAACTGAGAGCTGGCTTGCTCGAAGCAAATTTTTGAAGATGTTCGTATACAGTTCGTAGAATTTGTTAGCTTACTTAACGACCTCTCGTTAAGTTCGTGAAGTGAAACATTATTTTTTAATATGATGCTGGCGGCATCTTACCACTTTTAAGTCGACTCACGCCGATGTATCTCTTGCGTACAATAAACCCATTGCGAGTCAATGTTGCAATTTCTAAATAAAGTTATGACTTTTATCTAGGAGACGACGATTTCTTGGAGGGGGTCACTCCACTCTCCTCCCCCGAAAATCTCAGAACTCTGAGTAGCTTTTCAGGATAACCAGTCTTCCTCCCAGGGGCGGATCCAGCAATTCGGCAACAACGGATTCCCTCCATTTAAACCTATGTTAAAGAATCGATTCTAGTCGGGGCACCTGACCCCTCCAAAAATCGATACATTTCTATAGGTTTAAATGGAGAAAAACAGTGTTGCCAATTTGCTGGATCCGCCAATGCTTCCTCCTCCTTGTTTCGTCGATGATTATAACATAATAACCGATATACTTGTCTTACAGAAATATCGATTGACTTCATTGATGAAACTGACTATGCACAGCTTTTAAATGACGCTATCCTTTCAACCGACAAAGACCTCATGGCCGATCCGAAGAAACCGAACCGTGCAGGTAAGTATTTTAGTCCCCCTTTACTCATTTAAAGCGTTTTCCTCTCAAATTGGACTACCAATGTGAGACATGAGAGCGGAAAAACGTATCACTTTCAATGGACCACTAGACAGGTACGAATTCAAGCTTCCAGATAAACGAAAGAATGCTCTTTAAAATTTCACGCTAAACGCAACTCGCGCTACGCGAATAACTCACATTACCTCCAAACGAGGATAAAAACGTTTTTCTTAAGCATTGGTCACGAAAAATTTGAATTTCTCGCTGACCTGAAAAACCACGGTCGATTTGGATCAGATCGCGCACTTATACGCATATTTACATAAGAACGGTCTTAAAATAATGTCAAAAATACTTTTAATAAATTTGCGAAATCATTTTAAATGTACAATCAATTGTTTGTATCAATATTGTTATCAAAAACGTCCTGACAATTTTTCAGTCATCGAAAAGAAAGAAAGAAAAAAGGAAAAAAAGAGAAAATATTCATTTTTGGTCACAGGTCGTTCTGCTGGGCCGATTTCCATGATTTTTACGGCTATCGACAGGTGATACTCTACATCACGATTAAATTGTAATATCTTGATGATTAAAATTCTGCCGCAGGCTCAACGGCATTGATCGCGCTGATCGCAGGATCTAGGCTGTTTGTGGCAAATGTGGGCGATTCCAGAGGCATCATGTGCGACTCTGAGGGCAAAGCTGTGCCTCTATCTGTTGACCATAAACCTTTTCAGGTGCGTACGATAGACACGTCGTCGGCGATATTGACTTCTTCCACTTTCTGGTGACAAAATCTTTCATTTCCTGAGAGTATAGTTATTTCTAATTTTGTCGTCTTTCGGTGATACAAGAGACAGCACTTTTAATTATTCGAGTTGAGAGAGAAACCAAACTCGCAAGTTGGCCTGGAACGGCGCGGCGCAGAGAGCAACAATAACGAGGACTTGATATGAAAAGGAGAAGCCCTCAGCGCGGCGCGGCAGTCGACATGTAACACATACGAGTATTAGCGCCTACAAGACTGCATGAATACTTCGCGCATTGCGTCAAACACAGTGCTGCGGTCAGCAGCGGCCGACGTGAAAGGCATAGCACCTACAAGACTGCATGAATATATGACGCATTACATCAAAAACAGTGTGGTCAGCGTGAAACGCATGGCGCCTACTAGACTTCATGAAGACTTTACGTATTGGGCGGCGGAAGTTAAAATTATTAAACCACATCTAAGTTTATTCTTGCATAATTTTTACGTTCATTTATTACAAATGGAAGGCCACGTTCACACAGAGATAGGTTTGAGGAACTTAACTTTCGGGCAAAGTTCCGTGAACTTTTGCTAGGAGTGTTGGCAGGGCTCTCGCAAAAAATGTGTCCAACACGAGCAAACGAGTGTTATGGCACCCCGCCTCCTCCGGCACGTTCACTTGATGCTTTTAATTGATGTTTCAAAACGAATGAGGAGGCGGCGGCAAAACACAGGCGGCCCATGGGCGGCAAGTAGGTAAATCCGACCCTGACGGACATATTACCTGGCTACATATTTTTGGGCCGCGCAATGTTTAAAGACTTGTATCGCAAAGTTCTCTTCATGACTACTTTTGAAATAGTCACATGATCTTTTCAGTTTGCTTCCGACGGTAACGTAGAATTGGTATTTATGCTAAATGGAACTATGAGCAAGTGGAAAGATGGAGTGTGCTCGCTAGTTGAGGGCCGTAAGAATGAATGGAAAATTTAAAGCGCCAGTAACGTCAGCGGCGAATAATTCGCCATTGGCGAGCATTAACTCATGAGCCCTGTCCACAACGCTCTTGTCATATGTCTAGGGCTCACGAGTTAGCGCTCAGTTCCTTCTGATTTAATGTAATATCCCGCTTTACCATTTTCTCAAAAGGAACTATATCCACTTTTACATTGTTTCTTACCCAGCTCACCACGAGCACACTCCATCTTTCCACTTCCACATAGTTTCTTTTGGCATAAATACGTCCAGTTGGGTTTTTTCTGTGGCCGCCATTATCCCACCTCAAATGTTTTCTTTTCCGCACAGAAAAGCGAGCGCCTAAGAGTGGAGGCCGCCGGCGGGACGGTCAAATTCGCGGGCGGCGCTTGGCGCGTCAACGGTCACGTCTCCGTATCCCGGATGTTGGGCAACAGGCTCGCGGACAAAAAAAGTCGTCATCTCATCGCGGATCCTGACATCCTAACTTTCGAACTTTGCCACCACAAACCGCGCTTCCTGGTCCTCGCCTCGGACGGGCTCTGGGACGTCTTGTCCAACGAGGAGGTCGTCGATTTCCTCGCTCCCCGACTCCAAGAGGAATATCTCGGCGCCAGGAGTCTCGCTTACTACGCCTACCTCCGCGGGTCCGGGGATAATATCACCGTCGTCGTTATCGACTTGAGGAACAGGAAATGGAGGTGTTCGAGGAGATCCCCTCGACGAGGATCTTGGTCTCCGAGGAGGTCCGCGTCGTCGGATCGAGGGAGCAGAAACCGCGACGGGAAAACAAGTTCCAACCGGGAATATCCCTAACACTGAGAAAGAAGCTTCGGCTCTCACAGCCGTGATGGACCACTAGACAAGGTACAAGTTTAAGCATTCTGATGCATGTTTCTTCGCCAAAATTTAACGTAGAACACGATTTGCGCAACGAAAATTACTGAAATACACTCCTGACCAATATATTTGATGTTTCTTGACGCGTGAATTCAAACCTCCCGCTAATGAAAACTCAGTGGTCCACGTAGCCAGATTGCACACTAAGAATTACCATGACACGCTCTGCAAACTCAATCTTGACGCGCTTTGGCTCAGCTGTGGCAAATTGCGTATGGTTTGAACAACACATGGTGGGAAATGAACACTGCTCGATTAATGTGCTTGCTAAAGCCGTTGTAGTGTGCGATTTGACTCACGTAGAGCTTTGAGTTTCTTGTCAGCGGGCATTTCAAATTCCTCGTAACCAATGTGAAATAAAAACATTAATATCTTCGTTAGGAATTGGTTTCAGTAATTTTCGTTGCGCGAATCGTGTTCAACATGAAATTCTGGTTAAGAAACATGTTCAGAATGCTTCAATGCGTAACTTGTCTATTGGTCCATTACGGGCTGTGTACAGTGCTATCGTGCGTTTAGGGTGAAGAAACCGCAAGTTCCGTATTCAGGAACCCGGCGCAATGGAGTTCTTAGCTCAGAGGCCGGTGATTCAGTTACTGAATGCAGAACTTACGGGTTCTTCACCCAAAACGCACGATAGTACTAATAGCCCGTAATTATGGCTCCCGGGGCCGGAGTTTTTTTCTTTTTTCAGTGAAAGAATCACTTATGTTAGTAGACTTTTTATCCAATATTTTTTTTGGAGCATGAACACCCTAATATTCTCAATTTTTGTTACGGCCCAACACCGTGTTTGTTTCACCGGTGCGTTCCGTTCTCGAGACCGAACTCGCAACCTTTTCTGAGAGGGAACATCTACCGTAGCATAATTTGCCGACTTTGAAAATGAAGGGGTTTCTAAAAAGTCGGAGTAATGGACGTGTGCGTCATTAAGTCTCGAGATCGAACTTCCTACCTTTTCTGGGAGGGAACCTCTAGTGTAGGGTAATTTGCCGACTTGAAAAATGAAGGGGTTTTATATACGTTAAACTATGGAACGTGTGCGTAAATGGGTCTGTTGCACGCAAGAAATACAGTCAACTGAAAACATTTCCTTAGAGTAAAGTCGCTCGAAAATCACGCTGGGCACATCAAAAAAGCCTGAAATCCATTCCTTAGCGCACAATTTGCGTAGTTTGTAACAAGTTGTTTCAAATTTACCGCCTATGCGGGTAGTTTTTCTTGGTAGTCGGAAGTCAGGTTTGCCCGGAGAGAGACCTAAACTAAATAGACGAGCAATCTCGCAAACTGTTATAAAATCACCTTATGTGAGCTTTTCATTGATTCAAAGCTATTGTTTATTGCAAAATGAAGAAAGAAAAATGAAACACCGCTTGAAAACAATTAAAATCATACAAGTGAAATAGTTAGCGAGATCGTTTATTTACCCAAGTAAATTCTTCTTACTGATCTATTAGAGTGTTTGATGTTGTTAAAACACTTACAGTGTAAATGTAAGTGTATGTGTATGTATACTGATGTAAAAATATTAAAATCTATATGAGAATAAATACTGAATAAAAAAATAAAAAAAGAGTCTTTTATCCATTGCTCAGAATCCCATGAAACAAACCATAACTCCACATATTTATGCTAAAAGGAACTATGTGTGTGGCAGATCAATCGATGTATCACAAAACACGACACACCACTAGTAGTTAGCGCAATATGCATGAGTAAAACTGACAGATATCTATTACTAGTTATTCTAGATTTCCTGGAGATCGTAGGAGGAAATTCGGCGACTCTCGAATGTTCATACGGCGTTTTTCCTTGGCACGGGAGAGCTCTCCTGAGCTTGAGTCTGTATTAAATTCGCTCTTTTGTCACCGACGTGACCCCACGTGGAGATGAAACAGCGAGCAGCTCATTTAAAGCGTGGCAAGTCTCCGAACTCCATCACCGAAAGTGGCGAGCTCAATTAAATAATCATCCGAACTTACCGGACCCGCATCCTCCAGGCCGGCGATGCCAACCTTCGAAAATCCACAGAAAATATACACCAAAATACACTGATTTTCCGTGTAGTTCGACACTACCTTGCCTCGCGCGCACTATCGCGCTGCGGAAACACGCTGTATGAATATTTGAACGTTTCCAAAATTTCCTTCTATAGCATATTCACACCGAAAAAAAAGTGAAGTTGATTTAACATTCTGGATGTAAAAAAAGTGTGCGAGAACTTATAAAATGCTGAATTACCCGCCACAGCAGTTAGTTTTACATCTTGGCATTGCTAAAGTAACTACCATAACGGGTAATTCAGCATTTTGTAAGTTCTCGCACACTGTTTTTACATTCAGATTGTTAAATCAACATCACTTTTTTTTCGGTGCATTATTTATTTATTTATTCTTTTTTTTGTTATTTTTTTGAAGATCCACCGAAAATATACGAGAATACACTGATTCTCGGTGTAGTTCGACACTACGTTGCCTCGAATTGCCACGCTAAGGAAAAACGCCGTATGCACTTTTGAACATTGCAAAAATTTCCTTCAATATCATACTTTTTTTTGGAAAATCCACCAAAAATGTGCACCAAAATACCAGACTGATTTTCGGTGTTGTTCGACATTATGTTGCCTCGAGTTGCCGCGCTAAGGGAATACGCCGTATGAACACTTGAATCTTGCCACAATTTCCATATTTTATTTTGAAAATCAACCCAAAATGTGCACAAGAATACACTGATTTCTGGTTTAGTACGTTAAGGGAAAACGCCAACTGAAAATTTGAACATTGCCAAAATTTCCTTCAATATCATATTTTTTTATTTTTAAAAATCCACCGAAAATAGAAAAATGAAAAAGAACAAAAATGCTTCACCTAAACTCCTCGTAAAACAAATAAATAGATCGTAATCCAATTTTACCTCCGGGAAAACCAGCGACCCCATCACACATGAATGTGCACCAGAGCTATGACACTCGCAATGTCAACCGCGTGAAATTGCACGACCACCGTTGCCTTCCCGAAACCAATACTGCGGACAAACCGATGGAAATCATGGAGCTATATATGCCAGACGGACAACCTCCGTGCACACATCTCGTTTGTTCGAGTTAATTGAAACTGTTAAAAAAACCCGCCGGGACGGTGTAAAAATGTTACGAAATCAAATAAAATGATTTCACGCCCTCGATACGCGGTGAAGGGGTGGAAAGGGGGAGGCGAAAATAATAATAATAATAATGAAGCGAGAAAAATAAATGGAGCGGGCGGAGCAGAGATCTACCGTGCTGAAGAAGAACACCGTATGAACATTCAAGAGTTGCCAAATTTCCCCGGATAAAATATGTATTTTTGAGAAATATAACGCATATTTCCCCTTTAAATGTTCAGGTAATTTAGATTAAATTGCGTACAAAATCGTCCAGAAATTTGGAGGAAAAATATTCACATATTTTCTTAAAAATTCGCAATTTATCGCAAGAAATTCGGCAACGTCTGAAAGTTCATACGGCGTTCTTCGTTAGCACAGGAGAGATGCCCGCGGGCTGTTGTAAAAATGCGGGCGCTAAGGAATAGGAAGCGGCCGTGTTTTCGAGCCGATTGAAGCAATTAATGGATTTTATATTTCCGCACTCCTCTGTTTCTCCAACAACCGCGCCCGGCTTTGTCCACCGGGATCCCTCTTCAAAGGCCCTTTTTCCGTCACGGCTCCGCGGCACGGACGCTCCTGGACCCTGGACCCTCCGGCGACATCATCTCGAAGTTTGAACCTTTCAAAATTATTTTTTTCCCCTTCGAAAGTGTAAAGAGAACTACCAGCTGATTTTTTTAAATTGATAGACAAAACGATGGACGAAGAAGAAAAAAAAAAGAGCGTGGAGTAGTCCTATTGGTGAAGGGGTGTAGTTGCAATGGACAAAGGTGATAATAGACTGACTAACTGCAACCCATGGGAGACCTTATAGTTAGTCCATCATTTTTCCCTTAGTCTATAAGAACTACACATTTCAACCAATAGGACTGCTTCATACTCCTTATGTCTTCTTTGTCTATCGATATGTCTATCAATTTCAACAATCAGCCCACTGGGGCACGGGTGGTGCTCGCTTTTTCATCCTATCTTGGCATTTCCATCAGTTTGGTCATTTTTTACCATGTATTTAGGAATTGCGTTCCACGCGTCCTTGTCTCGTAGTACGAGGTTCACGACTATGTCCGGGTTTATGTCTTAATTTCTTTATCTTATGGGCCAATGGTCTTTCGGAATGGCCAACGGGAATTTAGTGCTTATTCCGGACTAGAAGATACCCTGCAAAAGGTCTCTAAATAAGGTTACTTCCCCTCTATTTGTATGCTTCTGACGTCGCCCAAAAGATTTCACGTTTCAGGGTCGGTTTGTTGGCAAGTTCGCCCAACAGTCTTGCGTCCTCCAGCGGACTGATTGATGAAATTGATAAGAAAAAATCGATAGACAAAGAAGACATAAGGAGTATGGAGCGATCCCATTGGTTGAAATGGGTGGTTTTCATAGACTAAAGAGGTAAATGTTGGACTACCTGTTGGGACTCTCGAGGGTTGCAGTTTATTAGTCCATTGCCTAGTTCCTATGTACATTGCAATTACTCGCTTCCACCAATAGGATCCCTGCAAATCCTTCTTGTTTTCTTTATCTAGAGCTTTGTCTATCGATTTCAACAATCAGCCCGCAGAAGTGAGCTTTGGATTTGGGAGCGGCTCGTGGCAACTGGGCGCTGTGGTCAATTGAACGGGGCGTATGACAGAGTGTTCGGGGGGCAGGATAAACGATTTAAGGGGCCGGCGACGTTTAGTCGAGCCTTTGTTTAAACGCGTAACGATAGTTGAATCCTCGACGCTGTCGCCTCGAGTCCTAATCCGCCGTTTAAAGCGCCTTTTACTCACGCCGGAGCCCAGGGCCCGCTCCCGTATCCTGCCTTTTAATTGAAATTCAACTCGGCGTCCACACTCCGGCCAAGGAACGCACGCAGCTCTAGTTCTGAACGTCAATGCTGTCGTGCTAAGGAAGAACGCCGTATGAGCCTTCAGATGTTGCCAAGTTTCCTCCGATGAAAACCGAATTTACTGGGACAATGGACCACTAGACAAGGTACGAATTTCAGCATTCTGATACATGTTTCTCAACCAAAATTTCACGTAGAACACGATACGCACAACGAAAATTACTGAAACCAACTCCTGACGAAGATATTTAATGATTCTTGATGCGTGGATTCAAACCACCCGCTCATGAAAACTCAATGCTCTACGTGATTCACATCGCGCGCTAAACGTTATCATGAACGTCTCTGCGATA